TGTTCTGGTGTCTTAGAGTCCTGTTCTGGTGTCTTAGAGTCCTGTTCTGGTGTCTTAGAGTCCTGTTCGGTGGTCAGAGTCCTGTTCTGGTGTCTTAGAGTCCTGTTCTGGTGTCTTAGAGTCCTGTTCTGGTGTCTTAGAGTCCTGTTCTGGTGTCTTAGAGTCCTGTTCTGGTGTCTTAGAGTCCTGTTCTGGTGTCTTAGAGTCCTGTTCTGGTGTCTTAGAGTCCTGTTCTGGTGTCTTAGAGTCCTGTTCTGGTGTCTTAGAGTCCTGTTCTGGTGTCTTAGATTCCTGTTCTGGTGTCTTAGAGTCCTGTTCTGTGGTCTTAGAGTCCTGTTCTGGTGTCTTAGAGTCCTGTTCTGGTGTCTTAGAGTCCTGTTCTGGTGTCTTAGAGTCCTGTTCTGTGGTCTTAGAGTCCTGTTCTGGTGTCTTAGAGTCCTGTTCTGTGGTCTTAGAGTCCTGTTCTGGTGTCTTAGAGTCCTGTTCTGGTGTCTTAGAGTCCTGTTCTGGTGTCTTAGAGTCCTGTTCTGTGGTCTTAGAGTCCTGTTCTGGTGTCTTAGAGTCCTATTCTGGTGTCTTAGAGTCCTGTTCTGTGGTCTTAGAGTCCTGTTCTGGTGTCTTAGAGTCCTGTTCTGGTGTCTTAGAGTCCTGTTCTGGTGTCTTAGAGTCCTGTTCTGGGGGTCTTAGAGTCCTGTTCTGGTGTCTTAGAGTCCTGTTCTGGGGTCTTAGAGTCCTGTTCTGGTGTCTTAGAGTCCTGTTCTGGTGTCTTAGAGTCCTGTTCTGGGGTCTTAGAGTCCTGTTCTGGTGTCTTAGAGTCCTGTTTTGGGGTCCTAGAGTCCTGTTCTGGTGTCTTAGAGTCCTGTTCTGGTGTCTTAGAGTCCTGTTCTGGTGTCTTAGAGTCCTGTTCTGGGTTGTTGGAGTCCTGTTCTGGTGTCTTAGAGTCCTGTTCTGGTGTCTTAGAGTCCTGTTCTGGTGTCTTAGAGTCCTGTTCTGTGGTCTTAGAGTCCTGTTCTGGGGTCTTAGAGTCCTGTTCGGTGGTCTTAGAGTCCTGTTCTGGTGTCTTAGAGTCCTGTTCTGGTGTCTTAGAGTCCTGTTCTGGTGTCTTAGAGTCCTGTTCTGGTGTCTTAGAGTCCTGTTCTGGGGTCTTAGAGTCCTGTTCTGGTGTCTTAGATTCCTGTTCTGGGGTCCTAGAGTTCTGTTCTGGTGTCTTAGAGTCCTGTTCTGGTGTCTTAGAGTCCTGTTCTGGTGTCTTAGAGTCCTGTTCTGGTGTCTTAGAGTCCTGTTCTGGGGTCTTAGAGTCCTGTTCTGGTGTCTTAGAGTCCTGTTCTGGGGTCTTAGAGTCCTGTTCTGTGGTCTTAGAGTCCTGTTCTGGGGTCTTAGAGTCCTGTTCGGTGGTCTTAGAGTCCTGTTCTGGTGTCTTAGAGTCCTGTTCTGGTGTCTTAGAGTCCTGTTCTGGTGTCTTAGAGTCCTGTTCTGGTGTCTTAGAGTCCTGTTCTGGTGTCTTAGAGTCCTGTTCTGGGGTCTTAGAGTCCTGTTCTGGGTTGTTGGAGTCCTGTTTTGGGGGTCTTAGAGTCCTGTTCTGGTGTCTTAGAGTCCTGTTCTGGTGTCTTAGAGTCCTGTTCTGGTGTCTTAGAGTCCTGTTCTGGGGTCTTAGAGTCCTGTTCTGGTGTCTTAGATTCCTGTTCTGGTGTCTTAGAGTCCTGTTCTGGTGTCTTAGAGTCCTGTTCTGGGTTGTTGGATTCCTGTTCTGGGGGTCTTAGAGTCCTGTTCTGGTGTCTTAGAGTCCTGTTCTGGGGTCTTAGAGTCCTGTTCTGGTGTCTTAGATTCCTGTTCTGGTGTCTTAGAGTCCTGTTCTGGTGTCTTAGAGTCCTGTTCTGGGGGTCTTAGAGTCCTGTTCTGGTGTCTTAGAGTCCTGTTCTGGGTTGTTGGAGTCCTGTTCTGGGGGTCTTAGAGTCCTGTTCTGGTGTCTTAGAGTCCTGTTCTGGGTTGTTAGAGTCCTGTTCTGGGGGTCTTAGAGTCTTGTTCTGGTGTCTTAGAGTCCTGTTCTGGTGTCTTAGAGTCCTGTTCTGGTGTCTTAGAGTCCTGTTCTGGTGTCTTAGAGTCCTGTTCTGGTGTCTTAGAGTCCTGTTCTGGTGTCTTAGAGTCCTGTTCTGGTGTCTTAGAGTCCTGTTCTGGGTTGTTGGAGTCCTGTTTTGGGGGTCTTAGAGTCCTGTTCTGGTGTCTTAGAGTCCTGTTCTGGTGTCTTAGAGTCCTGTTCTGGGGTCTTAGAGTCCTGTTCTGGTGTCTTAGAGTCCTGTTCTGGGGTCTTAGAGTCCTGTTCTGTGGTCTTAGAGTCCTGTTCTGGTGTCTTAGAGTCCTGTTCTGGTGTCTTAGAGTCCTGTTCTGGTGTCTTAGAGTCCTGTTCTGGTGTCTTAGAGTCCTGTTCTGGTGTCTTAGAGTCCTGTTCTGGTGTCTTAGAGTCCTGTTCTGGTGTCTTAGAGTCCTGTTCTGGGTTGTTGGAGTCCTGTTCTGGGGGTCTTAGAGTCCTGTTCTGGTGTCTTAGAGTCCTGTTCTGGTGTCTTAGAGTCCTGTTCTGGTGTCTTAGAGTCCTGTTCTGGGGTCTTGGAGTCCTGTTCTGGGGTCTTAGAGTCCTGTTATGGGACTCTCTTGGGTCTTAGAGTCCTGTTCTGGTGTCTTAGAGTCCTGTTCTGGTGTCTTAGATTCCTGTTCTTGGGTCTTAGAGTCCTGTTCTGGTGTCTTAGAGTCCTGTTCTGGGGTCTTAGTGTCCAGCGGCCCTACTTCTGTCCTTATATTTAACTTCAGAAAAAAAAGCTCAGTTCCCACGCGTGTCTTTGTTGGATGCTATCTCACTGTATATCACTTGTCATTACTGTATAATACACGTCATTACTGTATAACACGCGTCATTACTGTATAACACACGTCATTACTGTATAACACACGTCATTACTGTATAACACACGTCATTACTGTATAACACACGTCATTACTGTATAACACGCGTCATTACTGTATAACACACGTCATTACTGTATAGCAATTATCATTAGTTAGTCCCATTTCACCAAGATTTAGTACCAAGTTTTACATTAAACGATTTTAAAATATTTTAAAATACTTTTAAGTGATTTCCGTCAGCCAACCAGCGTTGTAAAATAGGTGCTCTGTTTGCCTCAACTGTTGTACAAAAACTCCACACATTCCCAGCTAATTTACGTCTTACAAATGTTGCCTGCCAAGCCAATTAACATCTAACAAAACACGCCGATAAATCAATCATTAAGTTGATCGTATTTAAAACTAATGACGTTCACTCAAGCGTGATACAGACAGATAAGACGATTTGAAACTACCAACATCAGACGTGGTTTAAAAACTGTAACAACATCAGACGTGGTTTAAAAACTGTAACAATATCAGACGGGGTTTAAAAACTGTAACAATATCAGACGGGGTTTAAAAACTGTACCTATAAAAGTAAGGCATGATTAAATTACTTTTAAAAATTCCTAAAAAAACATTTTAATAACAAGCTTTTATGTAATAATGCACAAAAAAGGAGAAAATAAATTATACACTACTATTTAAATAACTATAAAGAAAAGCGTGGGCCTCTTCCTAAATATTAGTAAAGGTATCCAATAGATACTAAAGTGAACACGCTTTTCTTTATAGTAATTTAATTACTTAGGAAGAGACCCACGCTATTCTTTATAGTTATTTAAATAGTAGTGTATAATTTATTTTCTACTTTTTAGTGCATTATTACATAAAAGCTTGTTATTAAAAAGCTTTTTATGAATTTTTTTTCCAGTACTTTACATGTTTTATTTACAATAGTTACATTACTAAAAACCATTGTCAAGTTTATAGCTAAAGTTTCAGTAAAGTATTAATATTATGGGTTGGCATAGTCTAGTGGTAAAGAACTAGACTGCTGACCCGACTAAAAACCATCGCGCGCCTATTGAACATGATGACGCGCTTTTGTAGTAGAGCCCCCCCCCCCCCCTCGCTCCACGCCCAACACGGCCGTGATGACGCGTGTGGAAAGTACTGCCTACTTATTCGGTCCAAATTTTAATTAATTCCATAAAAAATTAATTAGGCGACCAATTAAGTCAAATTGAATGTCATGATGCATTGTCTTCATGTCTTAACCCATGTACCAACTACGAATCGTATCTGTCAGTTTCAAGTGCCTGCTATTTCGCACGGGCGTTTTGATTAAGACTGACGACAGACTGACGACAGACAGAGGAAGTGAGTTAAATAAAAGCTTGTAAAAATGTAACTTTATCGAATTAGAATTTTACTGTAACAATTCAGTATACACCAATAGCATGTCAGTATATACCTTTAATACCTCAGTATATACATGTAACATCTGATGTCAGTGTATACCTGTAACATGTCAGTATATACCTGTAACATGTCAGTATATACCTGTAACATGTCAGTATATACCTGTAACATGTCAGTATATACCTGTAACATGTCAGTATATACCTTTTACATGTCAGTATATACCTGTAACATGTCAGTATATAATGTAACATGTCAGTATATAATGTAACATGTCAGTATATACCTGTAACATGTCAGTATATACCTGTAACATGTCAGTATATACCTGTAACATGTCAGTATATACCTGTAACATGTCAGTATATACCTGTAACATGTCAGTATATACCTTTGACATGTCAGTATATACCTGTAACATGTCAGTATATACCTGTAACTTCCCCGTATATAGCCTCAGATTCACCAAAGTCTTGAATCAACGATGCGTGACATGAATCTATCCCATAATAACATTAAAATATTGACTCCCCCTAGTTCAAGTTAAAATACCTATCGTCGCTATTAAATTTTGATTTGAACTTTTAAATATTGATTGTCGCTAATTAAAGTATAAATATTGATTGCCGCTAATTAAAATTCAAATCGCTGCTAGCGACTCGACTAAAATATGAAACAAGAAAATTATTTCTTACTGGAAGTCGCTAGTTTCCACCATAGATCCACATGGATCCACCAAAATGTATTTAAATCCACCAAAATATATTTATATCCACCAAAATGTATTTAGATCCACCAATATATATTTAGATCCACCAAAATATATTTAGATCCACCAACATATATTTTGATCCACCACAATTTATTTAGGTCCACCAAAATGTTAGAAAGAAAAAAACTGAATCCACTGCCGCTAGCCCTGAAGCCCTACACCAAATGTTTCTCCACCAAATCCACCCGGAACCAACCAGGTCTAGTGTAGGAGAAGTAGAGCAGCAGACAAAACTTGATACCTATAAGACAGCACATCGTCACGCCTTAGACACCTGAATAGAACCATTCATTCGGTCTTTTCGGTGTGCATGGAACTGTTTTAAAGCCAGCCGATAGGTTGACGTCTGATCTCGCCGAGGGTCTTGTCCCACCCCTAAACTGGGCCCGCGGGTACCTGACTATGTGGCCCGCGGGTACCTGGCTATGAGGCCCGCTGGAAATCCGACCCGTTACTTTTTACCGAACGAGTCATTTTCAGGCGTGTTTTCTAATCCGTTTTCAGTCAGAAGTTGAAGTTAAAAAATAAATTGTTGCTGTCGTGTCGTCCGTTTTTTATTTACTGCATAAATCAGTGTCTGTTGGTGTCTGTTGGTGTCACCTTTGTTCCATACATTGGTGACACATGCTCTGCATACCATTAGTAACATGAGTTGTTTATCGTTAGGTGACACATGCTGAGGAAAACAATTTCAACATCTTCGATTTTAAGGTTGTTTCCCTTCAACTTTTACGCAGTTTTATGTTAAATATTAGATCTAAATGTATTATGATAAACAGAAATAAATTGATAAACATAAATAACTTGATAAATGGAAATAGCCCGATAAATGGAAATAACTTGATAAATGGAAAAAACTTGATAAATTGAAAAAACCAACTAGATAAATAAAAACTTAATGGCTAAGATTTCCATTGGGAAATCAGGGAATGGTGGGGGGGGGGGGGGGTAGTTAAGTCATCAGCTGTCCTCATAATTCTGAAGGTCATCAGATTTCTGTTTCGCTCTGAAAACCTTTGCGCTCTTGATAGATCTACCTCTAGGTCATACACCCGCCGGGAGTCACGTGACTTATGTGGGCCGATGTCTGCCAGCGACAACATACAACACCAACTTTAAGCAGCTCACATTACATGTTGTATGTCATGTTGTATGTCATGTTGTATGTGATGTTGCATGTCATGTTGTATGTCATGTTGTATGTCATGTTGTATGTCATGTTGTATGTCATGTTGTATGTCATGTTGTATGTCTTGTTGTATGTCATGTTGTATGTCTTGTTGTATGTCATGTTGTATGTCATGTTGTATGTCATGTTGTATGTGATGTTGTATTTGATGTATGTCATGTTGTATGTGATGTTGTATGTCATGTTGTATGTCATGTTGTATGTCATGTTGTATGTCATGTTGTATGTCTTGTTGTATGTCATGTTGTATGTCATGTTGTATGTCATGTTGTATGTCATGTTGTATGTCATGTTGTATGTCATGTTGTATGTCTTGTTGTATGTCATGTTGTATGTCATGTTGTATGTCATGTTGTATGTCATGTTGTATGTCATGTTGTATGTCATGTTGTATGTGATGTTGTATGTGGTGTTGTATGTAGTGTTGTATGTGGTGTTGTATTTGATGTTGTATGTGATGTTGTATGTGATGTTGTATGTGATGTTGTATGTGATGTTGTGTGTGATGTTGTATGTGATGTTGTATGTGATGTTGTATGTGATGTTGTATGTGATGTTGTATGTTATGTTGTATGTGATGTTGGATGTGATGTTGTATGTGGTGTTGTTTGTGGTGTTGTATGTGATGTTTAACGAAAGATTAAGACCAGTCAAGATTTAACCTGTGATCCTAAAGTCTGTGTGCATCTCCAGCAGATTTTTGTCATCAAGGGTTCTCAAATTATTTCAAAAGTCTTGCAAAGTGATCAGTAGCATCTTTCTCTGGTCTAAAAAGGGGGTCTGATAAATCTTTGACAGTCCGTGTCTGTCATTCATTTAATTTACTGTCAGTTATTGTCAAAAGCAGCTTAATTTGAGGTATCTGAACAGTGATATCCCAGGATAACTGCCATTTAGATACCTATTATATATCTTCCATATACCTGCCTCAGATACCATCAAGCTATATAAACAGAACTCTATCCTTTGAATTAATTTGGCGGCTCAAAAACATACTAAGTAAACATGTTTACAATAATTAGTCATTAATTTTTTCTTTAATGTGTTGACGTACAACTAGGCTTCACGTATTGACACCCTTATGTGGAACCACTTCAATGGGCACCATTCGAAACGTGGATCGTTATAAAGAATGTGGTTAGGGTGTGGTGAGGCGGGGTGGGGTGGGGAGGGGAGGGGTGACGGCACCACACATATTGGGAAGGACACGCCCCAAATATTTTCATACATTTAAAAGAGAGCTTTGATTTAAGTCATAATAAATGCTGACATTTCAAAAACACGAAAGATGGGGGGGGGGATAATTCCAGGAGCATTAAGTCAAATGGGTCCGTTAAACCGGTAGGTGATGAGGGGGGGGGGAGATGATGAGGGTGGCGGGAAGGGGGCTGCTACGGGTCGATGAATAGAACAGCAGGAAATAGGAAAGCCCAAGGCTTAAAATAAAATGACACCCAAAAAAGCACTTTTAAGGTCGTCCTTATTAGGCTGTTGACGGTTGACTGACTTAAGTCGGTTCTAACGTCCGCTCAAATGTTGAATGTGACAAATGTTGAATGTGACAAATGTTGAATGTGACAAATGTTGAATGTGACAAATGTTGAATGTGTACTTCAGGCAATGAGGAAGGGGTCGTGTATATATGTAACACGAAGGTATAGGAGTGGTTCCTCGGATTGTCCGTCCTACAGGTATAACAGGCTGTAACATTTTGTTTTGAACTTATCAGGTCGTGGGTGTGTCATATCCGGAAGTCGTGGCCAGCACGTGATTGGTTAAAGAGCAGACGACGGGTTCATTTCTCTTGACCATCACATTATCTGACCATTTGAGTCACCTACAAAATTTTCTCATGAAATTATTTGACCATACGAGCAGTGGCGTAGCGAGGTCGGGTGTCACCCGGTGCGGCACTTAATGGTGTCACCCCCTCAGAGGCGTAGCGACCCTTCCCGGGGACAAACTTTCAAATTTTCGATTTGCACCCCCCCCCCCCCCCCCTCAAACTTTCGATTTGCACCCCCCCTCAAGTTTTTCTCTATATACTTTGCTATTTTTTGCCTTGGTGTCATCCCCCTAAATGGTGTCACCCGGTGCGATCCGCACCCCCCGCCCCCCCCCCCTGCTACGCCCCTGCATACGAGTCACCTACAAAATTTTCACATGATATTATCTGACCATGCGAGTCAGTAATAATCTGCCAACAATGATTAAGTTTGAAACCGATGACCCGAGGAAACAAAAAGCGGTTTAGCCAGATTTGACGAGGTCAAGAAATTGTCGAGCAAATCTCGACCGTAGGGGCGGCCACATCTGATTGCTCTCAATTCTGGACACATCGTGCGGTTGAGAAAACCGGTTGTTCCTTTTTGTGTAGAAGTAACCGACACGAAAAACTTTTATTTCAGTTTAAATTTCTATTTGTTAAAATTCTTTTATCCTCAACCAGGGGCGGAACTACAGTGCCGCCAGACCCCGCAATGTGGGGGGGGGGGGGGGGCATGCCATTTAGGGGCCCATAGCCGACCATAATTAATTTTTATAGTTTAAAAAAAATTTCTTGCGTTTTTCACTTGACGGTAAAAGCTTTTGTAAATAACAGAAAGATCTATTACAGTAGTGATGTTATACATATACATATACATATAGTCAACTATTATTATTGCCCATCGCGTCTTTAGTGTGTAGCCTTGTTTAAAAACGAACATAGGCGCCATAGTGGTCACATGTGATCCTGGGGCGTTTCGGGTCACGCAATTGCCGGGGCGCCGGCGGCTGCGCCTGTTGAAGTTTTAACGATGACTATAGCAGCACCCTTACCCGCTATGCAGGACGCCCGATTAACGGATTCCAAGAACTAAGATAGCCGCTATGGAACTCTAGGCGCCAAAGCGTTTATTGACAAACATCGCACCATCCCGGCCGTGCCCATAAGAATTTTTTTCCCCGCAGAAATCTCCTCGGGAGTATTCTCATCAACTCCGCAATGTTTCATGGCACTCGGAACAACGGTATCGAACCGCATCCGACTTTTATTATAACATATATATATATATATATATATATATATATATATATATATATATATATATATATATATATATATATATATATATGTATGTATGTATGTGTGTGTGTGTGTGTGTGTGCCTGTGTGTGTCTGTGTGTGTGTCTGTGTGTATGGGGTGACGCCTAATTGAAAGTTCGCTCCATGTGCCGGAGGGGTCGCTACGCCTCTGCCTATAGCCATCACCCCAGCGAACACCACCCCCTACGGCCATCACACAAACTCCTGTTGTTACCCCTATACACCATCATTCTGTACTGTCTTTTTTTCTAAGGTTTAAGTGAAGCACTTTGGGCCATTACCTCCCTTAGACGGTTATCTCCCCTATTTCCACTGACAAAAAATTTCTATTGAGCGAGTTGTTAAATAAAACTTGGCACTATCGCAAGAGTCGGGGTAATGTGACGACTTGTGAAGATCGCCTCGTAGCTAGATTTAGATGTATTTCATGATAAGTCATGTAGAAAGCGGTTAAAGAGCGGAATATTTCTTGCGGTATTTCTTGCAGCACAGCCCCCCCCCCCCACCCCTACACATCCATCCACCCTTCCCCCCCACCCCATCAGAGCAATCATCCTATATGAAATAGGAGAATATTTAATTTATGTAGAAACTATATACTTTTAACAGTGCCCCCCCCTCCCCCCTCAACACTTGTTGGATGTAATACTTGGAGGTAACACTTGGAGGTAACACTTGTTGGAGGTAACACTTGTTGGAGGTAACATTAGGAGGTAACACTTATTGAAGGTAACATTAGGAGGTAACGCTTGTTGTCACGTCATGAGGCCTTCAGTACACAATAAACTGACGACCTTCAGTACACAATAAACTGACGACCTTCAGTACACAATAAACTGACGACCTTCAGTACACAATAAACTGACGAAAATTAAAGACTTCAGATATTAATTATTGATCAAGTTTTAATGAATAATTTATTTTGCTATTTTTGCGAGTTGATTTTTCAACATCATTAGGGGGGGGGGGCGTTGGGATGGTTATGATATAACCTAACGCCACTCATCTTGGGCAATTATTGGTGTAGACATTATGTG